CCCAGGGTGACAGGCCAGAAGTGCCCGTCACGGTGCACCCGAGCCTCCTCCCCTGCTGACCCGGGGCCTGTCCCCTGGTGCTGGTTACGGAGCGTGATGTGGGGGGTCCTGGCTAACAGCTTCACCGCTTCTGGTTCTCGGGAGAACGATCCTACAGCCATTGCTATCCCTCTGCATCCAGAGATCCAACTCGTCGATTCTTCTCTGAAGGATCCTCGGGAGGGAGAAACACAGGAAGGGAATTGGGGGCCCTTGGAAACACCTGGAAAAATGCATGAGCTTGTTCCCATAGTGTCCCAAAACACACAGACTGACTCAGATCCCAAGGTTTTACCGGGGGCCACTGAAGACCTTCTTCCCCACAGGGCAGTGAGCATCAACCGGAGACGGCTCGGTCCTCTTTGCAGGACCACTGATGGCACCCACCTTGTCCCTTCTTTCATGCTCACTAATGCCTTTTTGCACGTGCTTTTCTACTTCCCTTCCAGGTCAAAGGGTGCCCGTGGGAAGACCATGGTGGGTGGCCGGTGGAAATAGATGACTCGGAAAGCAAAGGAGGCTCAGCCACGGAGAGGTGTATTGCCTTTTGGCCGACCAACTGGCTTCCCCACGTCGTGGAGCCTGCGCCGCGCACCCACCCGCCCTCCCACTGCACAGAGCTTGCAAAGACCTTGCTGCAGGCACAGCGCTGTCTGGGTGGGCAGATGCCTCGCGAGGTGCCGTTTCTCATCTCCACACCCCCCGTTGATGTTGTGTCTGTAAATAAAGAGAACGGTGAGGGGGTGCGGGTGTTGTCTCCATCCTGAAGCTCTGAGTCCAGAGGAAACAGGCACAGGACGGTCGCAGCAGAGCTCAGCTGAGCAAGTGCAGTTGCACGGCCGCTCCCTGGGGTGCAACCATCCAGGACCTCCTGAATAACATGTCCCCTCGCCTCACAGCATCTCACACCTGCAGTCCTTGGGAGGTTTTGTAACAGACCTCAGTGGTCTGACCTGCTTTTCCTGCTGCGGTTTGGGCAAGCCTAGTTAAGGCCAGTTTAGTTGCTGCTTTTGGTGTCCCAGAGCCCTCCTTGCTCTCTCTGTGTCATGGCTGGCCCTGTGTGACAGTGTGGATAGGGACACTGCTTCCACACCTCTTGGTCTACGGATTAGTCACAAGCCTTGCTTCCAGGCCATTTTCATTCCTATTTCCAGCTCTTCCTAAAGGGCCCAGACCAGCCGTGTTTTCCTCCTGTGCTTGTTTCTGACAGCATGCAACGAAGGCTTGAGATGAGTCACTGTGGAAAGACCGTTTATCTGTCCTTCCAGGGGTGCAGATCCCTTTCATCTAGCTGTAGGCATCTCTGTAGTACGCTCCCACATGCAATGCCCATGGGGCCACATCAGCTGCATAATCCTGAGTGTTCCTGGTGCATGGACCTGGACTGTCAGCCAGCAGAAGACACTAGGCTTGCACAACTATTTCTCGGGGCAAGCTGTCCCATGCTGTTGTTAAACAGCATCTGTGAGGCATTTCCCAGAGCGGTGAGGGAGGGATGAATGCACATGATGGTGGATCTTCAAAGGCTTCTTGTCCCTTAGCAAGACATTTTGTCTCCCCTCTTGCTGGGGCTGCCTGTCCTCCCCATCCCAGACCCAGTGATGTGGGGGCATCCTGCAGGTTTCTCCCTTGTGCTGCCTGCTGGATGATGACTTATCTTGCCTATTTCAACACATGCCATCAGGCTTTGGGGGACAAGCTTCTGGGAAGCCTTAGCTTCAGTGAGGCAGCAAGCGGAGGGCAACCAGCTCCCTATCACCCTCCTCCTCAAAAATGAGGTGTGGAGGGGTGAACGTGATCCCTTATTGGGACAAAAGGTGAGACCTGGGGACGGTGGCAGGGCTGGGACATGCAATACCCAGAGGGTGGCTGAGTGAAGGTCCAGCAAGTGACATTTCCACCCTGCCTGATGCACGGCACCAGGAGAGACGGGCACTCAGGGCAGAAAGGTATGTCTGGCTTGGAAAAAATATCCCCTTTCCCAGGCTCTGAAGGTCCACCCTCAAAACCTTTCTGGCAGGCAAAGGCAGGGCCGTGCCAGTGCCGGTGCCTGGTGCCGCACAGAGGCACTGCAGCCGCTCTGCCCGTCCCTGCGGGGCTGGCAGCGCCCAGGGTGGGGGTACAGAGGCACTCCCTGCTTCCCACAGAGCTGCCTGTCCCGGCAGCGCGCTGGCCCCCCGCCAGCCTGCTTCCCTGCACGCTGGGGCCAAAACCTGCACGCTCCCTCCCTGCCCAGCACCTCCCTCCCCGCTCCCGGTGCTCGGTGGCACAGTTGTGCCAGAACAGCTGAGTCAGCACCCAGCCCTGCCACTGACCCTCCCCTGCTCCCTCTCCCACCGGTGTCTGTGGCTTTCCACCGTGAGCAGGCTGCTGCCATGCTTGGGCACGGGGGAGCGTGGCGTGGCACGCAGAAATCCTCTGGGACATGGCAGAGCACCCTGGGGTCTTCTCTGGGGTCTTACAGGGTGCTGGCATCACCCCAGGTCATGCGTGGCCTGCGTGACGATTGCAGCGGTGCAGTATGTTGAGCCAAGCTTTGCTAAGCGTGGTGCAAGGCGCTGTACGCTGGTGAGCGGCTCTGATGCGCAGGCATGCTGTCCCCGTCCTGCCACGCACAGAGTGAGGGC